AGGCAAGAATATATTCTTTGTGGGATAATGACTTTACTCAGTGGAAATAACAAGGCGAGTGATCTTATTTTGCCATATTCCGAATGAATTGTAGAGTTCAAAGCAACTGCTGAAGATTTCCAAGATACAGCACTGTGAGCTTAAAGTCTCTCCTATGTAGATGAAACATATCTTTACACAGCCGATAACATGAGATTTTTCCATGTACATCATCAACTAGTAGAGGAAGAAACAGGTTTGGCTATTTGAAAATGGCTAAATATTGTGGCCTCCCTTAGGATGGATCCTGAATTTGATAATCTTCTTAACACATACCAATACTGAAACATAAGAGCTTACTGCGTGTTATGTCTACACTAGAGTTGTATGTGTTTTTTCTGTATTTATTTAATATCTACTCTGTTCCAGGTACTGGAGACGTGAGGAAGTAAGTAAGACAAAATCCATGCCCTCGTGGAGACTTATGAAATGAAATTATTCCCATTTTACAGATGAGGAAACTGAGGTTCAGGGAGATCTGTTGGTTATCCAAGGGCACACAGCTAGTAAGCAATTCAAATGGAATATGAATTACTAACTGTCATGGGCCTCACACCGTGTTCTTGTTTAGTATGATGCTTCCCTAAAATGTAAAGGACAAAATTTATCCAGCCCAGGAGGCGGGAATTGTAAGAGCACTGTAGGATTCTAGTGCCTTCAAATTTCTTCACTTTTATATTTTTCAGTATCCCCATTCATTTTCTGTTAGCAATTTTCAGGAAAATTTGTGAAATGAAAACAGTGTTACTATGATCTCAGGGAACAACAAGAAATGGGAGATGGGAACAAGAAGAAACTGGGCACCTGGTTCCATCCCCCACTATTGTGGCTCAAAACAAAGAGTGAAATTCCTGCTAGGCAGGAATTCTTAAGTGATATCATGCGAGCATTTTCTCCTTTGGTCCAAAATGTGTAAAGAAAAGAACAATTTTATAGTACACTGAATTCTGAAAAGCATAGTTTGACTAAGGGGGAGCTTTCTCAACAGCAGCACGTTGACATTTGGCGCCAGATAATATCCTGTGGGAAGCTGCCCCTGCACTGTAGGACGTTCGGCAGCTTGGCTAGGCTCTGCTCTCAGGACGTAGCAGACCACCTCAGCCCTCAAATTGCAACAACCAAAAGCCTCTCCAGACTTTGTCCAATGTACTCTGGGGGCTAAAATCACCCATGTTGAGAATCAGTGATTTAGACAAGTGTTGAAAATCCCTAAAACCTGTTGGAAGACTTCCCCAAAGTGCAAATCCCTAAAAATATCCCTTTTATCTCTACAAAGTGGATATTTTATTTCTTCAATGTCAGAGCCTTGCACTGCAAAACTAAACTTGTAGCCTTCTCCCTGGCCTCCACCCACAAACCATTAAAACAGGATGAAAGATAATACATAGTTGTTTATAAACATTTATAAACATTTTTATTCATACATTTCATACAGAATCAAGATCTGTCTACACAGCCTTCACAACTTTGTAAGCTCTCTCCAGCAACTTAAATAGATTAGGTTCTTAGGCCCCCTTGTGGCGAAAAATAGTAACAACAATTAGATCACAGAAGAGAAAAAAAGACCAAAAAAAAAATATATTGAAGCACAATTAATACATGAAATTCCTCCTCCCTCCCCTATGAAACGTCTGCTTTTTCATCAAAGGAAAGGGGGGATGGAATATGAAGAATAATTAGTCCCTGTGTGAAACTAAATTTTATGAAACTTTTTAAATTGAGTTGATGACTGCAAACTTTAAAATCAGTAGATTACAAAGTGTTGCGGCCCGGATTGCAGAACGGGGGATGGACACAGAAAGAAACATACAGACACACACAAGGACATACAAGACTGCAGTAGACAATTCTACCAGTCGCTTTATTATATACTTTTTCTATGTCCGGCAGCTACTTCCTGGTACGTGACTACCTTGGGCGTCTTGAGGAAACACATTTTCATTCCTTCCAGACGATTGCTTAAGGGAAGCAGGCGTTTGCATCTTAACTTCTTGTATCTTAACTTCTTTATCTCATTACCGTATGCAGGACAATGAGATGCCTTGGCTTGTTTGCAAGACCCCAGGCGCTTGGTTATCTATCATAAAGCTATCTGTCATGAGGAATAGTTCTGTTTGTCCAACAGGCCGTGTCCAGACCTATTGACCTCTGGCGCCAAGGAGAGCACACCCAGTTTCGCTGACTCTGGGCTTAAGCCAATTTGCCCAGGGACGGCCCCTACACAAAGGGAACAAGACTGCTCTAAGTCACACCTGTAATCCTAGCACTCTGGGAGGCAGACACGGGAGGATTGCTTGAGGTCAGGAGTTCGAGACCAGCCTGAGCAAGAGCAAGATCTCTGTCTCTACTAAAAATAGAAAGAAATTAATCGGACAACTAAAAATATATAGAAAAAATTAGCCAGGCATGGTGGCTCATGCCTGTAGTCCCAGCTACTCGGGAGGCTGAGGCAGGAGGATCCCTTGAGCCCAAGAGTTTGAGGTTGCTGTGAGCTAGGATGACGCCACGGCACTCTAGCCTGGGCAACAGAGAGAGATTCTGTTTTGGGGAAAAAAAAAAAAAGACTACTCTAAGAAAAAAAGAAAAAATACTTAGGAAAGTAATTTTGTGTAATTTTTAAAAATAAAGTAAGTAAAACTTGGTCCTTATTTGTATTCTGGCTTTGTGACTATAAACCATTGACCTAACTTCTCTGGCTCTTAGGTTCCTAATCAAAAAACAAAATAAAGTAAAGAAAACAAGTTGTAGAGCTAGAAGACACTTTGGACATCATCTAATCCAAACCTTTCTTAAAGGAGGAGAAAACTGAGTCCAGTGAGGTTTAGTAAAATCATAGTAAGAGTCGTGCATATTCTCTAAGTTCCCCTCCAACCTAACCTACCACCTAAATTAAATATTTGCATATAAAAAGTAAATGGCAGCAAAACAATTTGTAAAGAAAAATGAATACATATGGTCATCTGTATTTCAAACATCAAAGAGAAATAGGTTGATGTTAAGTGTAGATGCCCATCAACAGGTCAGGTAAAATCCCAGTTCCGGGAGTCCCTGATTAAGTATAGGATGAGAATCAGCACCCGGGGAGGGGGAAGGGTTTGGACAGAAAGAGAAGTCCTCATCTGACCCCACAGGAGGCTCCGACGCTGGGATTGCGCAGCTGCCATTGTCCTTTCCTGAGACAAAGGGATGTCCATGTGAATTAGTCATTGAGTACGAACTCTCTTGGGGCAGGGCTGTGATCCTGAGCAAAACAAGAGCATTTCCAGAAAGAATTGAGACAGCTTGGGGCTGTCATCTGGCAGCGTTCCCAACAACAGGAGAAGGGGGAGGAACAAGTCCTTCTACGGGAATGGGGGTTCTGGGCAGTGCATCCCAACATCCACTACCATAGACAAGCCTATGTGGGGAGACACAGTGTCTCACCCTCAAACACATGACCTCGCGAGCCTCTTGGTACAACAGAGGTGGAAAAGACCCAAGGGGTAGTGACTTGTCTCCACCTGCCTGGGAGGCCAGAGCTCTACCTTGGTTGTCATTACGCTCCTGCAGCGATCGATGAATGGAGAAATCGGTGACATCAAGGCTGACTTCCAATGCTGACTCCACCCTTTGGACAAATTAACTGACCTCTAATGTCAGTTTCCTCCGGGATGTATTTTCTAGGCATGTCCTCCCTCATGCCCATTTCCACTTAAACCTCTGGCGGTAATGCTTAACGCTAATTAAACACTCAAATGTTTCATTTTCTTTCCCTGGTTTTGCATTTGTTCCCAATTTGATCTCAATTTGTTTTGTGTATCTACTAGAATGAACCACAAGAAATTGCCAATAGTTGACCGTTTTTAATGTTCAACTACTTATAATGCAAAAATGCCAATTCCATGTAAGGTTTGTCCAAATATATGTTTCGCTAAGTTACAAGTTTCTTGAAGGAAGAGCCCATGTTTTCACCATCTTGCATTTGATCACGTGTTTTATTTCTATAGTACTTTACTGCATACAAATTCCCTACACAGGTTATCCGACTCAGAGCAATCCCTTGAGAAATAGGGCTGTTTCAGTCTTGCAGATGAAAACACTGAAGCTCACAGGAATAAATGACCCATTCAAGGCCACACAATCATGGGATTGAATTGGGGGACCTGAACCCATATCCCCTGACACTAAGTCAAATATTTGTTCCTTAAAAGGATACAGCTTTTATGTTTGTTCAGTGCTTCATGGTTTATAAAGTGCTAACAAAGACATTATCCCATATGACTCAAAGAATGATCTGGCAAGATTTTCAGGGCTGGTGCTATTATACACATTTAATAAATAGAGGCTGTAGTTCATTCACTTATTCATTCATCCATCAGTCATTTATTTCTTCTTTTGCTATATGAAGGCTATCATGCCAGGTTCAGGAGAGCGAGAGATGAATGTCTCCTAACCCCTTCAATCAAGAAATTTCCCCTCTGGGGCAGAAAATGAACACCCCATTGACAAATTAACTATTACAGTGTGGTGAATGCTAAATAAATGCTAATACTACATGACAAATGATAAAGCTGAAGTATATACAGAAAGCTGTGTGAATGACAAGAGGAAATATTATTTTCCCTGGAAGTATTGGGAAAGTCTGCAAAAGGGAGTGACGCTAAGCATGTGCTCTGCAGATCTTTCACAGGGTGGAAAATAATGAAAAATTCCTCAGGGAAGGGATGAAAGGCACTCCGGTATTAACATGATAGCGCATAGTTTTCCCCAAGAAAGCTCAACTACTGAATAACTTGCCAAGGTCTCATGGCTGGTAAGTAGCCAACTTGGCCTTGGAACCAGCCTTTTGCTTTCCAGGGAAGGTTCTCATTTTGCAGTGTTTTACGTAAACTTGGTAGCATTTAACAAATGGGTATGCTATGATGTAACACTTTCGTCATGGTCTTCTAATGCAGATTTTTTTTGCCTCTGCTATTTTTCAGTATTCCAAGATGTGCATGTTATGGTATTTGTTGGGATTGGCTTTCTCATGACCTTCCTGAAGAAATATAGCTTCAGCGGTGTGGGCATCAACCTGCTCATCGCTGCTCTGGGCCTCCAGTGGGGCACTATTGTGCAAGGTGTCCTGCACAGCTATGGACAGACAATCCACATCGGAGTCGAAAAGTGAGCATTCTTGCTACAGTCTGAATGTTTGTGTCCCCGCAGATTAATAGGTTAAAATCTTAACCCCCAAGGTGATGATATTTACAGAGCCTTTGGGAAGTGACTAGAGCGCGAAGGTGGGAAGTTCATGAATGGGATTAGTGTCCTTATAAAAGAGGCCCAAGGGAGACTCCTTAACCCTTCCACTGTGGGAGGGGACAGCTGAAAGAAAAAATCTGTGAACCGGAAAGGAAGCCCTCACCAGACACCAAATCTGTTAGTGTCTTGGTCTCAGACTTTCCAGCCTCCAGAACTGTAAGAAATAAATTTTTGCTGTTTGTAAGCTACCTAGTTTATGGCCTTTTGTTACAGTAGCCCAAATAGACCAAGATAATTCCTTATTTTTCAACTACTGTGTTTTCATATAAATCATCAATATTTCTCTGCAAGTACATTGTCACCCAAGCTCTGAACTTGCTGGCAAATTGTCTCCCTTAGGCAACAGAAGATTTTTGAAATCCAAGGATCCATGTCAATGTCTTGCTCTACTGAGGTGGATCATACATTCATGTCTGTAACTTCTCTGGTTTCACTTTAAGAGTACAAGAAATCTCCTCTCATAAAATCATTATTCCTTCTGTCTCAGCTACAGGGAACAAAAATCTACCATTAGTTATTTTTTGAAGATTGTTTTTCAGATGCAAACATGTGTTCTTATTGTTGTAAACAACCCCTCTAAGAAACAATTCACTTATCATATCAACAAAAATAGAGTAAAACTCTAAATGAGATAAAGGACTGGTAAGTAAAGATTTAAAAGTAGAGCAACTGAAGAGCATATGGTGAAAGGAAGAGAAAAGAGGTAAGGAAGTGGGGGAGGCTCTGTACCGTTCTGGTGGGAGAGGGGCTTGCACTTTGGATGTGGTGATGCTATAGCTCATCACAACTCACAGTTTTGTTTGGGGTGTGTATTATACTTCGCTTTATTCTTTCTTTTCCCCTCAGCATGATACATGCAGACTTCAGTACGGTCACGGTTCTGATTTCTTTTGGAGCAGTCCTGGGAAAAACGAGTCCAGTCCAAATGCTGATCATGACAATTGTAGAAATTGCTGTCTTTGCTTGCAATGAATATCTGGTTGATGAGATATTTCAGGTAAGGGTTAGAGAATGCATACTTACCTAGCTTTGGGCATCACTTCTGGCCACCGCTCATAATAGGTGCCCACTCTACACGGGGGCAAAACCTTAGTGAGAGTGATACCATAGCAAATAGTAGTATTAATAATAGCCATCATTTATTGAGTGCCTTTGTAAACCAGGGGTTTTATAAACATAATCTCATTTCATCTTCACAACATTGTATGGTAGATATTATTGTTATTATCATTAATGCACAATAAAACTGGTGATCACAGATGCTAAATGACTTACCTGAGTCTGAATGCACACCCAGATTTTTCTAACTGTACAATTCTTTTTTATTATGATGTATTGCCTATCGACAACCAATTCCTGTTTATATTTCAACTACTAAGTGAATAGCCCTACATAAAGCCTTATACAGCCTTTTGTTAAGGCCTATGTCAAATTTCTTCCCTCCATGAAACTTTCATCAATTCCCCCAGATAATAAATAGAATATTTCTGGGAACTCTCCAGTATTTTGTTATTATGTTTAGACTTCTATTAACACTTAATTCAATAGCAAATATTTTGACAGCTTTCTAGGTATTGATGACTCAGTGATGAACAAAATAGTGAAGGTCCCTGTCTTTCTAGAGCTTATGATCTAGTGAAGGAGACAGAAATCAAACAAGTAGTTACGCATCCACCCACCCACCGAAATATACAAATACACATACATCAATATTATTATAAATTGCAATGCATGCTGTGAAAAATATGTGTGTGGGGGGGATAGCTATGAGAAAGTGTAACTGGAAGACTAACTACAAAGAGTAGTTCTCTGAGGAAGTAACAATTAAGCCAGACCTGAAAGGTACCCATGAGTTGTTCAACTAACCGATGGGGAGGAATGAACTTTAACCCAAGGTAACAGCAAGTATACAGTCTTTAGTTGGTAATGATGATCTAAAGGAAAACCTTCAGTTGGAGCAAGGTATAAGGAGTCGACCTGTACAAAATGGAGCCACCAAGGTAAGGAGGCCAGATTAACAAAGATCTGTAAACTATGTGTGTTGGCTAAAAAAAGACTAAGTTGATGGCTCCAGCTACTCAGGAGGCTGAGGCTAAAGGATTGTTGAGCCCAAGAGTTCAAATCCACCCTGGGCAACATAGCAAGACCCCATCTGTCAAATTAAAAGACTGAGACAGACAGACAGACAGACTCACGTTGTATTTGTTAAGTACAAGGATGATTAATTGCTGCCTCCCACCCTCCTGAAACCACATGATGAAGCAGGACAAGATTTCCCAGCTAGGAGAGGACTAAGTGTGGCTGGGAGGCTAAAGGTTGCTAGAACGGTCAAATATTTTAGGAGAATAGTTGGACTCATTCCAACCAAGTTCAGATCTTCAAGGGGACTGGGTTTGTCCATGCTTAGTCAGAGAAGGAACAACAACCAGTAGACCCTTTTTTCTTCAATTTGAGCTACTTTGAAACTTTTAAATACATAAATTGGTATCATTTTCCTGCCTATAAATACAGAGAAATGTCTAGAGTTTGGCACGCTGAACTTTACAGACAGGAAACATAGAAAACTGGGGTCAAATCCATACCATGTCTAAAGAGGGAACTAAAATGTATTTCTTTAAATGACTCTTGGGCCTTAGCTGGTTTTCAGGTCATCATAGAGCAGCGAAAACCTATGACTTTTTGAAGCTTCAAGTCTTGAGTAGCAATTAAGTGAGCTTTAACTGCAATGTCAAGCGAATGTAAATCATCTTTGTTTTGTATCAAGCGCAGTACATATTTCACGGAGAAGCTCCGTCACCTGGACAAGTACCCTAGAATGTATTGAGAACTTGCTAAGGACCTAGCGCTATGTAAACACTACCCCATCTAAGTCTCACCACAACTCTGTTAGGTGGGCAATATTTTCCCATGTTGTAGAAACATATTCAGAGAAGTTAGTAATACGTCTAAAGTCACATTGCAAGGAAGTACCTGATGGAGAATTGAAAGTCGGTCTGTGTGGCTCCAAAGCCTGTACTTTTTCTATTTTACTACCCTGGTTTATCCCCCTTTCTCTGACACATTCTTTCTCTCTTTATTTCTTTATTTTTTAACTAATGAAGCAGTCCTTTCATTGACTTTCCTCCTATAAGGAGACTCAGGTTCACCTCTATTTACACAAATGCCCTTTGTCTCCTCAGGCCTCTGATACTGGAGCATCGATGACCATTCATGCCTTTGGGGCCTACTTTGGCTTGGCTGTAGCAGGCATCTTGTATCGATCAGGCCTGAGAAAAGGGCATCAAAATCAAGAGTCTGTGTACCACTCGGATGTGTTTGCAATGATTGGTGAGTGCAGATAAACTTGCCTGATTTTTTTTTTACTTCAGAATACTATGGGGGTACAAATATTTTGATTACATGAATTGCTTTTGTATAGTTTGAGTCAAAGTTATAATTGTGCCCATCACCCAGAAAGTGTGTGTTGTACCCATTAGATGTGAATTTATCCATCCTGTCCTCTCCTCGCCAATCTGCTTGATTTCTGTTGAGTTATACTTCCATATGGGCACATGAGTGTTAGTTGATTAGTTCCAATTTAATAATGAGTACACGTGGTGTTAGTGTTTCCATTCTTGCCATACTTCACTTAGCAGAATGGTCTCTAGTTCTATCCAGCTTGTTACAGCCTTCACCATTTTTTTATGGCTGAGTACTACTCCATGGTATATATATATATATATATATACCATTTCATTAATCCATTCATGGATTTATAGGCACCTGGGTTAATTCCACATCTTTGCCATTATGAATTGTGCTGCAATAACCATTTTAGTGCAAGTGATAAAATAAAGTTTTTTCCTTTGGATAAATACCCAATATTGGGATTACTGGATCAAATGGTAGGTCTACTTTTAGTTCGTAGAGGTATCTCCATATTACTTTTCATAGAGGTGTACTAGTTTGCGGTCCCATTTTTCTTTTTTTCTTTGAGCCCAGGAGTTCAAATCTACCCTAGGCAACAGAGCAACCCCCATCTGTAAAATTAAAAGAGAGAGACAGACACACAGACAGACAGACAGACTCACATTGTATTTGTTAAGTCCACACCTGATTAATTGCTGCCTCCCACCCTCCTGAGACTGAATGGGGAAGCGAGGAAAGATTTGCCAGCTGGGAGATAAATAACCCAGTGTATAAGTATATATGTATTTCTTTCACTCCACATCCATGCCAGCATCTGTTTGTGGGAATTTGAAGTAAAAACCATTCTCACTGGAGTTAGGTGATATCTCATTGTGGTTTTGATTTGCATTTCCCTGATGATTGGAGAAGTTGAACATTTCTTCAAATGTTTATTGGCCATTAGTCTGTCTTCTTTTGAAAAGCTGCTGTTCGTGTCTTTTGTACACTTTTTAATGGGGTTGTTTGATTTTTTCTTGCTGATTTGCTTGAGTTCATTGTAGATTCTAGTTATTAGGCCCTTATAGGAGGTATAGCATGCAAATACTTTCTCCCACTCTGTAGTTTGTCTATTCTTTCTATTGATTCTTTCCTTGGCTATGCAGAAGCTTTTTAATTTAATCAGGTCCCATTTATAAATTTTTGCTGTTGCTGTGATTGCCTTTGGAATCTTCTTCATAAATTCTATGCCTAGGCTAACATCTATAAGAGTTTCTCCAACATTTTCTTCTAGAATTCTTATAGTTTCATGCCTCGGGTTTAAGTCTATTATCCATCACGAATTAATTTTTGTGAGTGGTGAGAGTTGTGAATCCTGTGTCTGTCTTCTACATGTGTCTATCCAATTTTCCCAGCACCATTTATTGAATAGGGATTCTTTTCCCCAGTGTGTTATCTTCTGCTTTGTCAAAGATCAGATGGTACTATGAGGATGGTTTTGTTTCTGGGTTCTCTGTTCTGATTCATTGGTCTAGGTCTCTGTTCTTGTGACAGTACCATGCTGTTTTGGTTACTATAGGCTTGTAGTATAGCTCGAAGTCTGATAAAGCAATATCTCCCGATTTGTTCTATTTGCTTAAGGTTGATTTGGCTATTAGGACTCTTTTCTATTTCCATACAAAGCATAGAATTATTTTTTCTAGATCTTCTAAAAATGATGTTGGTATTTTAATGAGAATTGCATTGAATGTGTAAATCACTTTGGGTAGTATATACATTTTAACAATGTTGATTCTGCCAATCCATGAGCATGATATGTTTTTCCATTTGTTTACCTCATCTACAATTTACCTCTCAGTGATTCATAGTTCTCTTTGTGAAGATCTTTCACTTTCTTGTTTAAATATATTCTCAGGTATTTTACTTTCTTTGTTGCTATTGTGAATGGAATTGAGCCTTTGATTTGATTCTCAGCTTGACTGTCGTTGTCATATATAAATACTACTGATTTGTGTACATTGATTTTGTTGCAACTTGAGACTTTGTTAAATTTATTTATCAATTCCAGGAGTCTCTTGACAGACTCTTTGGGGTCTTCTAGATATGAGATCATATCATCAGCAAAGAGCAATAGTATGACCTCTTCTTTTCCCATTTTGATACTCTTGATTTCCTTCTCTTGCCTGATCGTTCTGGCTAGGATTCCAGCACTAGGTTGAATACACACAATGACAGCAGGCAACTTTGTCTGGTTCTTCTACATGGGAATGCTTTTAATTTTTCCCTGTTCAGTGTGATGTTGGCTGTGGGTTTGTCACATACAGCTGTTATAATTCTTAGTTTATGTTTCATCTATGTCTATTTTGTTAAGAGTTCGTATCATAATAGGGTGCTGAATTTTTGTCAAATAGCTTTTTTGCATCTACTGAGAGGGTCATATGGTCTTTATTTTTGCTTCTATTTATGTGGGTGAATGACATTTATAGATTTGCTTATGTTGAACCATACTTGCGTGCCTAAGACGAAGCCCACTTGGTTGTGGTGGATTATTTTTTTGATGTGCAGCTGATGTGCAGTTGAATCCAATTAGGATTTTATTGAGAATTTTTGCATCTATATTCATAAGAGATATTGGTCTGTAGTTTTTCTTTTTTGTTGTGTACTTTCCTGGCTCTGGTATCAAGGCGATACTGGCTGTATAGAATGAGTTGGGGAGGATTTCTTCCTTCTTGATGTTATGAAGTAATTTCTGCAGTATAATTACCAGTTCTTCCCGGTAGGTTTGGTAAAATTCAGATGTGAAACCATCTGGTCCAAGGCATTATTTTATTGGAAGATTTTTTATTGTGGCTTCAATTTTGATGCTTGTAATTGGTCTGTTGAGGAGTTCTATTTTTTCTTTATTGAGCCTAGGGAGGTCTATGTTCCCAAGAATTTGTCCATTTCTTCCACATTTTCAAGTTTATATGCATAGAGATTTTTATATTCAGAGAGGATATTTTGTATTTCTGTGATATCAGTTGTAATATCTCCATTTTCATTTCTGATTGAACTTATTATAGTCCTTTCTTTTCTGTTTCTGGTTAATCTAACAAAAAGCTTGTTGATTTTTTTTATCTTTTCAAAGAATCAACTTTTTGTTTCATTAATCTTCTGTATAATTCTTTTGTTATCAATTTCATTTAGTTCTACTATGACCTTAGTTATTTCTTTTCTTCTGCTGTGTTTGGGTTTGATTTGCTCATCCTTTCCAATTCCTTGAGATGAGTCATTAGATTGTTGATTTGTGATCTTTCTCTTTTTGGATGTAGGCATTTAAGGCTATGAATTTTCCTCTTAGCACTACTTTTGCTGAATCCTATAGATTTTGATAACTTGTGTCCTCTTTGTCATTTAGTATGAAGAATCTTTTGATTTTCATCTTAATTTCCTCTTTGGCCCAATAATTGTTCAGGAGCAGGTTGTTTAACTTCCATGACTTTGGGTAAAGTTGAGAGTTTCTGTTGGAGTTGATTTCTAATTTTATGCCACTGTGGTCTAAGAAGATACATGGTATAATTTCTATTTTTTTCCAAATTTGTAAGACATGTTTTGTGGCCTAGGATGTGATCGATCTTAGAAAATGTTCCATGATAAGAAGGACATTTATTCAGTAGTTTTAGAGTAGAATGTTCTGTAAATGTCTGTTAGGCCCATTTGTTCTAAGTCCCATTTAAATATATTACCTCTTTGTTTATTTTCTGCTTAGCAGATCTGTTCAGTTCCATCGGTGGGGTGTTGAAGTCCCTGACTATTTTGATGCTGCTATTTATCATTTTGTTTAGATCAAGTAGGCTTTGCTTTATGAATCTGTGCACACCTCTGTTAGGTACATAAATATTTAAAATTATTATGTCTTTTTGTGGAATTGTTCCCTTCACCATTATATAATGACCATCTTTGTCTTTCTTTACTTTTGTTGCTTGGAAGTCTATGTTATCTGACATGAGAATGGCACCACCAGCTTTCTTTTGGTTTCCATTTGCATGGAATATTGTTTTCCATCCCTTCACCTTGAGTCTGAATGAGTCATTGTGGGTTAGATGTGTTTCCTGGAGAGAGCAGACACTTGGCTTGTATTTCTTTTATCCATTCAGCCGGCCTATGCCTCTTCAGTGGGGAATTCAAGCCATTCACATTTATTGAAAGAATTCGTAAGTGGGGTGGATTTCTGTTCATCCTGTTGAGTAGAACTTTATTGCCTTGTTTTACCTCTTGATTCATTGTGGTATCTGGGCTTTGACCTTTAGCTTTTGGATCATTTTACACTGGTGGTTGTCTATTGGGCTGATCAGTATATAATGCAGTTCTAAGTACTTCTTGCAGGGCAAATCTGGTCTTGTCAAATTCCCTCAGTGTTTGCTTATCTGAGAAAGTCTTTATTTCTCCATCATATAAGAAACTTAGTTTTGCAAGATATGTAATTCTAGGCTGGCCATTATTCTGTTTGAGAAGACTGAGCATAGGACTCCAATCTCTCCTGGCTTATAAGGTCTGAGTTGAGAAGTCTGCAGTTAGTCTGATGTGTTTTCCTTTGAAAGTCACCTGATACTTTTGCCTTATGGCTTGTAGGAGTGCCTCTTCTATGTTTACTTTACCCAGTCTGATGACTATATGTCAGGTTGATTGCCTCTTTGCAATGACTCTCCCTGAATTTTTCATTTCTAGAAGTTCTGTTTGATTTTTTTAATAGCTTAATTTCTTTACTGAATTTTTCATTCATTTCTTCCATTGTTTTTGTGGTTTCTTTATGTTAGGTTTCTATTTTCTCTTGTATTTCATTGAGCTTCCTTTCGATCCATATTTTAAATTCTTCATCTGTCATTTCAATCTTTTCATTTTGGTTAGTAACTATTGGTAAGGAATTATTATTTTCTTTTGGGAGCATCCTTTCACTTTGATTTTCTATGTTTCTGGAGTTCTTTCACTGATTCTTTGTCATCTGGCCTCTCAATTGAGACATGGGGGTGCCAGGTCTGGCTTATGGGCTTGTCTCAGGGTTTCTGAAGATTGATACCTGACCATGCCAGGGAGAGAAGTGCTGGTCCTGAGTCTCCTATGGGGTGTTCTAGCAGGTTTGGTGAATTTCTCTGGTTAGCTCTGACCTGCTGTCTTTACCTTTTCCCAGCAGAGTGTTGTGAATTAGGTCCCCCAGCTTAATCTCTGAGATAGTGGGTGGTACTTATGAGTATGAATCAGCTGTTCCCTATTTGCTTGAGTTTGAAGGTGCTATGCTTAGCTATGTGGTTGTTCCCCCTGTCATTGATTGAAGTTTGCATGGAAAAGCCAGCAGCTGAGATGTTCTTTTGTGCCTGTGGCAATCTCTGGTCCCCCAGGTGGGGTACACGAATGCCCCAAGCTTTAGGAGGGACCCTGTAGCTCCCAGAGGGTTGCCTTATCTCTACTCCCCCTGATGTGGAGGGAGGAGCAAGACAGATCATGGCTGGATTTCAAGAGCCTGAAAGGTTTTGCAAAGCCTGGGGGAAGAGGGAGTGTCAGAGTTTGCTTTTCTGGACACTAGGGGGAGTCTTTGGTATGAAGTTCAAGGCAATCTCTCTAAGCCAGGAAGGCTGTTCCAGAGGGAGGGACCTAAACACATGAGTGCTAAGGCCCTAGGCCAAGCTCTTTCCACACTTGTCCACTAGTGCAGTTTCTCTGTGGGGTGAGGTGAACACCCTCCCTAGTCACTGCTCCATGGAACTCCACAGCACTCTCCCATCAGATCAGTCCACATGAGTTCCCTCACTGCCCAAGACCAGCTCTCCAACTACCACTCAGTCCGTGTGTCTGACCCACTAGTGTGCCATCTCCACGGAACATTGGCAGGTAGGGGGATCCCCAATTGTGCACCCCTGTTCCACCATGAGACCCCAAGGAGAGTGAGGTAGGCCTCTCTATCTACAGGGGCCTCTGCCAGGGGCACGCTTCCACTTGGGAGAAGCAGCTGCCTGTGAGTTTCCTGGCTCAACCTGCACTCCCTGTTATAAGTGGGGGGAGGGATCACTACTCCTGTTCAGCTGGTGCGTCTGAGGCATTCAGTTGTCATGAGAACTAGGGAATAGTCTAATTCACTCCGAGTGCCACACCCCTATCCAATATGGTGGTTCTCCAGCAGGGGTGGGGGTGGGGACACCCACAGATCTCCATTCCTCAGCTCCCTTCTACACTCTCCCATTGGATACGTCCATGAGGACTTCCTCACTACCCAAGTCCAGGACCGAGACCTCTCCACTGAGTCTCCCTGCACCACTCTCGTGTCCAGGGAGCACGAGGTCCAGCCCGCCTGTCTAAGCCATCAGCACGCAATCCCGAAAAATGCCAGCAGGCAGGAAACTCACAAATTGCAGCAGCCCTGCTCTCCATGGTGGGCTCAGCTGGGAACAGCAGTATCCCGCAGTTCACCGGAGGCCTCTAGGTGTGGGAGGGAAACCTCCCTTACCCTTTCACTGGGGTACAAGCGTCTCTGGGTTTGGTCTATACCATTATCTCCTACTCTTTATCTTCTTCTTTCTCAGCTTTGCAGTCTTTCTCGGTGGCCTCCCCCCAGATGTCTCTGTTGTCTCTCCCTGTGATCCACACCTGAGCTACAACTGCTCTTGGCTCTCCGCCGTCCAACAGTCCACCTTCCAGCCAGGATGATCCGACAAGTGATGTCTCTAGTTGGCCATATTGGTTCCCTCCCCCTGAACTTGCCTGATTCTTGTCTATTTGGTCAGGGATGAGGGAAGTTTAACCGCAAAATGGATATGAAGATTCTTGAAGAGGAACATCCTTTGAAAACAACTTTGTTTATGCTAGCTCAGTGCTCCTCTTTTCTCCTAACTGTTAGATAATCAAACCCAAAACTAAGAGACACTGTCTGCGCCTGAAGCAAACTGCCTCCCCTGGACCGTCTTTCATATTCAGAACTAACATCCCTTCTTGTGGTTTACTGCAGGGACTCTTTTTCTATGGACGTTCTGGCCCAGCTTTAATTCGGCCATTGCTGAAGCTGGAGACAAACAGTACAGGGCCATCGTAAACACATACCTCTCTCTCGCTGCCTGCGTACTCGTAACCTATGCAATCTCCAGCCTTTTGGAGAAACGAGGCAAGCTCAGTATGGTAAGTGCCATATTATCCCCCACGCACATTTCACTTAGCGATGGTGACAATTGTTTGAATAAGTAATAGATCATTTCAGCTGAGCTACCAGGACAAATCACAAAACTGCAAACCTCAGAGAACGTTTTAAGCACAACAATTATTCATTTATTCATCAAATTTGTACTCAGCAAATTAAAAAAAAATATTATCAAGGAAATTTACAGTCTCATAGGGAATGAACATAGTCATGTAAAAATCAAAAAGACTAGAGGTATATTTCTTTAATGATAGTGCTAACTGCTCCTAAGTTCTTAGAAAAATCTTCCTTAGAAACAAGACTTGTCGAAGAGCAGAAAAAGAGAGTGGGATGGCTCACATTGATTCTGTTTTCCCAAAGGAAATATTCTTCCCCAAGAAATAACAACTAAATTCAATGTGGGATCCTTGGAAGGATACTAGAAAAGAAAAAGGTCATTAGAGGGAATAATGTTAAAGTTCAAATAAGGTCGTTCATAGTATTGTGTCAATGCTTTTTTTCCTTTCTCTGGCTATTTGAGATATTAACATTGGGAGAATCTGGGTGCAGGACATATGGAAACTCTCTTAGTATTTTTGTAACTTTTGTGTCCAAAATTAATTTAAAATAAAATATTATTTTAGACCCCCTCAAGTTAGTCCCTTGAGTTTCTTGCCTGTGAGCTAGAGAAACATCAGTAAAGAAGTAACCTTTAGGTGAATCACTCACTCTACTTCTCTAACCTGGGGGAGGAAAGGGATATTATATTAATAATTTATTTCTTAAGCATGACTGAGGACATATATTTCAATTCTCCACAAATTGTCTCATGAGAGATCATTAAAAACAATAACAAAAACGATGATTAAAAGAAAAAAATCACACATGTACAGTTGAGTGGTTCTCTTTTAAAAGTACTGATAAACTCTGCTCCTCAGGCAGAACAGAGAGAATGTCATTTTTCTGAGGAATTCAAGTAAACAGAAATTGATTCCTCTTTCCTCCATCCCTAAATGTTCTCAGGACACTGACACTTGCAAAAACTGTTGTCTTTCATGTGGAATGTGTACATTTCAACAGCTCTACATTTCCTCTTTGAATATTGGCATATCCTAGACTACAAAGCACACCGCAGTCATAGTTCTCTTTTGGTTCATGATACCACAAATGTGTTCCAAAAACTGCATAAATAGGCAAAACTGCTAGAATATTTGCTCTATAAACTCCTGTCCCTCCACTACAACTTCTTTTGATTTTCTCATATGCCTCCCACCACTGGTCTCATTAACCTGGTTACTCATCCACTACCAAAGGACCCTGGCAAGAAAGACGGCAAATGTCTACTGCTTGGCGGAAGGACCCTCTGTGATTACAAAGAAGCCTGTTTCATAAAAATAATCAGTAGCCCTTTCAACTGAAGAATGCATCAAGGGTCCACCGAACCCTAGATTCCTCCAGTCCTTCTCAACTCTGCCTGGTTTATCGCACCTCATGCATCTTTCTGCCCACCACACAGGTTCACATCAAGAACGCCACCCTTGCTGGAGGAGTTGCCGTGGGCACTTGTGCAGACATGGAGATTCAGCCCCAGAGCTCTATGATGATTGGGAGCATTGCAGGAATTGTCTCCGTGTTTGGATACAAATTCCTGACTGTAAGTACAACAGATGTTCTGAGTCAATCTTTCAATCTACACCATTCTTCTCACATTCCACCAGCAGGGAAAAAAAACAAAGGCTTGACGTTTTATTTTATAAGCACTTCTCCTTGTTTGGAGTCCATTTGCCGGCGTCTCAGAAATGCTTCTGATATTTCAGTTGCCCAGTGGTTCTGCTCTTTCCTGACTTCAGGATAGCAGCATAGAAGCTGATATCCGTTATTTTTAATTTTCTATGAATTATATGTTAAGTATTTGTGTTTTACTTTTCTCTGGGGCAGTTTCATTGAAATTATTGATGTTATTCTTTTGTTTTGTATAATTAAGGACTCTGTGCTCTTTTGAGGGATTTAGGATATAAGAAGGAGTAGGACTTGAAATCACGCCCTTCGAACCCCTCCACTAAAGACTTAAATGGGCAGTTTTGCCACCAGTATATTCAAATTCTCTGACATAAGTGGACTTCAGATATGGATGGAGAACTGAGCTATACATAAAATTTTTTCTCCTGGACAGGGAAGAAAATGAGATACAGGTCAGAGGATAAAAAGTAACAGATCTGTAGGATGAACAAATCTAGAAATCTAATGTACAAATGAGCCTGTAGATCCTAAAATTGTACTGTATGTAGAATTTATGCTAAATTAGTAGATTTTAACTACTCTTGCCGCAAAACAAAAAGATGGATAAGTATGTGATATGATGGAGCTACTCATTTGTTTCACTATAGTAACATTTTTACTTTTATATGTATATGATAACATCAAGTTATATACACAGTTGAATTTATGCATAAAAAATTCTTCTTCCTGATTATTTATTTCAGTTATAGAGCCCAGTATAATTAACAAGCAGTAAAATAAGCCTTCCTCCTTTTATAATTTTAGCCATTCTTTGCTACTAAACTGAGGATCCAAGATACATGTGGTATCCATAACCTGCACGGCTTACCTGGAGTGGTAGGAGGCCTCGCAGGCATTGCGGCAGTAGGCATGGGAATGTCTAACACGTGAGTAAAAGAATGGATTTTCCTTGCCCCTGGTTCCATGATGTTTTCTCACACTCTCTGAGATATCCAGTGATGAAAGAGAAGTTCAGGTCAGAGTTTGTAAGTATCGTCCATATTAGAACGGAAGAGACACAACTGAGAGAAGAGAATTAGAATAGAATTTTATTGGAAAATGTGTTTTAACTAACATTGTTAATTATTTTTAAATTAACATTAACTTAAATGTTTCTACCATAGACAACTGTCTCCTAACAGATAGTACAATTTGACAATCACCATCAGATTGCAGTAGGCTTACTCTTTTTCTTGACCCCTCCAAAATGTAGGAGGGAGCACATGTGATGAGCTGAACAGTCATTTCCTTGTGGTCTCCACAAAGAATGAGTTAGCATAATGTAGAAAGTAGTTGGCTCTGCAGAATCGAGAAGACTGGCATATGGCCCCAACCTGGCTACTAATTAGTTATGTGACCTTTGAGATCACTCAACCTCTCTGGTTCCCAGTTTCCTCTTCTGTAAAATAAGAAGATTAGACTATTTACTCTCTAAAATCTTTGCTATCTCTAACAGACCTAGATTCTTCCCCAAGGTGGGAATAAATGTTTATTTAAACAACCAGGAAAAAAAAAAAACTATCAGTCAAAACCAGGAGAATGTAGGTGATATTATAAACCATCAGTTGTCACTTTTACACAACAAGATTGGAGCAATTTGATATGAATGTCATGCATGCAAAACAGCTAGGAAGACCGTAAGTCCAGATTACTCAGAGTAATTAAGGAGGAATCAGAGTGCTCAATTTTTAAATCCAACTGAAAGCATAAAAAAAGGTGAAAGTGTATCTAGAAATGTCTCACAGTGACCACTGACTAGAGTTGCATACATTGAAAAAGAAAAATCTCCTTTTCAATTTTAGCAGATTAAAATTTAACCCCGTAGAGACAAATAATAATCAATATTGAAAAACTCATTTAATCATAATTTCTACTGAATAGAGAGTTCAATTCCTCCTTCATGTATGTAGTTAACCCATTTCATCTGTGTTTTTTTTATCCTTTTTGTAAAATTAGAGGACAACCCAAAAATAACCACATTTTTATCAGTTCTTCCCAGGCCCTAAAAGACTGTTGAGACCAAACACTAAAATATTTTAACACATTGACTTCCACAAAAAAAAAAAAAAAAAAAAAAAAGGAAAATTTTTCCTTGAGTGTTTTATTACAAAAATAGAATAAAAACTTTGAAAACTAAATGATCCTAAAACATACATCAGTAAAAAAGTAGTATAAAAACTTGAAAATTAGTAATGTAAAAAGTAATGTGAAAACTTGAAAAATAGTTCATAACTCACATGGCAGTTAATGTGTTAATGCAAATCAAGCATGATAGAAGCAATGTGTCAGTGAGCTCAATTCCTAAGTGTTAGAGTGTGCACACAGGGTACAAATACACTATGAGGAATTCCTGAGCATCATGCCTAGACCTGTTTTACAGATACAGTAAAGCAAGTCTATTTGGCTCTCAGGCTGGGCTCACTGACAGCCTCATTGGGTGTCCAGACATTGAGTAAGTCTCATGGTTGAGGGTCTAGTCCTTACGTATGCAGGTTTAGAAACATCTCTTTGGTGGAGAGGGAGGGAGAGAGGGCAATGGCTGGGGAAGGGGAGGAGGAGCAAGTCTTGAAGGCCCATTCACCTGGTTAAAATTCACACATCTCACACCAAATGAAATACCTGCCTGAAAGCCAAGGTTAGAACAAGGGAAAGTTAATGTTCTTAAGGGACACCTCTGCAAATTATGGCAGCCTAACTCTAATAATGCTGTCAATTTTGTCTAACTCAGTGTTTTCCAAGCCTATTTGATCATAGAACACTTTTCATCAAAAAATATCTTTTAATACCTTGTAAAAGATGTTGGCAAATTCTTGTAAAATTAATAGGCAGATTACCAAAGAAGAAAATCAAGTAAATACATATATATGAAATATTCAACCTCATTAGTAATCAAAGAAATACAAATTAAACAAGTTACCAGTTTTTCACTCATCAAAGTGATAAAGAATAAATGAATAATAATTCTGAATGGTGGCTAAAGTAGAGAAATGAGGATATAAATTTTACAATTTCCTATTTGGATAAGCCCTTAAGAAGTATATCTAACCAGTGGGGTGAGATGGCTCACACCTGTAATCCTAGCACTCTGAGAGGCTGAGGTTATCCTCCACTCTGAGGATTCCTTGAGGCTAGGAGTTCAAAATGAGCCTGGGAAAAATAGAAAGATTCTGTGTCTACAAAGAAATAAGAAAAATTAGCCAAGCATGCTGATATGCACCTGTAGTTCCAGCTGCTTGGGAGGCTGAGGCAGAAGGATCGCTTGAGCCCAGGAGTTTGAGGTTGCAGTGAGCTATGATCAAGCCACTCTATTCTAGCCCTGGCAACAGAGAAAGAGCCTGTCTCAAAAAAAAAAAAAAAAAGTATATAAGTATATATAACCTTTTATTAATAATATAATTTCTGAGTAGGTTTTATATTAGGGAAACAATTGGACAAGTTCATAAGCATTTTCAGAGGAGGATATATTTTCACAGCATTTTAAAAAATATGATACACTAGGAGCACCCTAATATCAACCTAAAAACTATAATTATACTATATTTATATAGTGTAATACTCTGTAGCAATTCAAATTGTGGTCCAATCTACATTTACTGACATAAAGGACAGTTAAGATATATTTAAAGGGAAAATAAGTATTATAGCATGGTTGCATTTTTAGAAAAATACATGTTTTTGTTTTACATTTCTATTCCAATCTATCTGAGAGGGACAGATTGGAATAGAAATGTAAAATTCTGTTCTGATAGGATTGGAGGGATATTAAACTTTTCTTTCTTATGTGCAGTTTCTAATATTTTTACAATGATATGTGTTATTTGTGCCTTTTTCTATAGAGTAGAAAAATTTAAAATCTTCAAATAAAGAGAAAAAGGAAATCTGAGTTTAGTGCATTCTCTCTCTCTTGGATGAGGAGGCTGGAATACCAATACACTCTCATTTTGCAGTTGTTTTATTTGCTGGAATTACTCATTCAATCTTTCAACCACTTTTTATTTAATTGTCTGCTATGAGTAAGGCACTGTGCTAAGGAGATTCCCATACTCCTAGTCCACCCGTCACTTATGTAACACCCTTATGCATTTCAATAGCCTCTTATCACATTTTTCATTCCCAAAATTTTAAGACATTTTTCACTAATTTCATTTGAAGGTAATGACTTCTAAGATAACATGTAGAGATAGATTTAAATAACTTCAGTGCTTTTTCTCTACGATAATACATGCTGAAATTTTCTGATCTTATTGATAGATTTTCTAATTTTATCTTAACTGCTTCTTTAGGATGAGGTAAGGAGAGATGCTAGCCCATGCTGTTTTATAGATTACTCTACCCTCAGTTCCTAGAAGAGAAGCTGTCACAGAGTGGATACACAATAAATATTTATTGAATGAATCACCTCAGGGATCAATTTTTTGAGTGCTAAACCCTTTCTAAGAAAGGTATTATTATTCCTGAAGATACAAGAAAATGTTATTCTTCTTTAAGTGTGTCTAAGAATTTTCTAACACTGCTTAAGAGTTTCAAAGAAAATAAAAATATGACAGAAAAAAATTGTAAAAAACGTTTATATTTGCTGGTGTGTAATGCTGCCCTTTGGCCAGAAGATGGCAGACATCCACACTCTCAGTAGGTGAGATTTATTTGCTGGTGTCCAGAAAAACATGATTCTTTTCATTTGGCTTCCTAGGACTACCATGGCCATGCAGGCAGCTGCACTGGGTTCTTCCATCGGAACGGCACTTGTTGGAGGTCTGATTACAGGTCAGCATAAAAAGTGAACACTTCCCTGTACCTCGTGCTCTCTTAATAAGCAAGTCAATTGGTAAAATCAAAAGTGTTCAAAACTTCTGGCAGTAAAGTAATTATGTCAGCTCAAGGGAGTGATTTTTATGACAGCATTTTTAATACTATGCAAGTAGATTTTTCTCTTTAGCATCATAACATGACTTATTTTCCCTCCATCTTCACAGGTTTAATTCTAAAGATACCTATCTGGGGACAGCCATCTGATGAGAACTGCTATGACGATTCTGTTTATTGGGAGGTACTGTACAGTATTCCAGACAAGAATGCAAATGATGACTTTACTAGTGAAAGTTTTGCTCCCTTCAAGCCTAGATGTCAGTATGGCATATATGTGATAAAATTGGATGAGCTTCCTATTTAGAGAGAGAAATTAAGATTATGCGTCCAGCCAGATCAAATCAGAAGTTGTGGTATTTTCCAAAGCAAAAACTAGATGAATGAAAGATAGAGCTTAGTAGGCAAATGTCTTTTCACCCTTCTGAGAGCAATAAAAATGCTACTCGTAAAAATAATAGGATTCTGGGCAAGAGCGTGAGATTGAATACCACCTGTAAAAGAAGGCAAAAGCAAGTGGAATACATAAGGTTGAAGAATTTGAGTGAGTATACATCAAGAGGTTCTGTGGATAACTAAACATCAGCTGCTTTCTATCTTCCAGTTTCTACCTTTACCCTGCTGACATTTTCTCCCAAATTATTTCCTGCAAAGCTTGAGAGGGATAGATGCTTGAGTGATTTCATCGGGATTTCAGGGAGAATGGGTTTGGAAAAGAGGCAATGTAATCAGGGTAGATGAGATACTTGTTCTTTTATTTTTCTCCAACTCAAAAAATTTTGATTCCCAGTTCTCTCTAAACTTGGATAATAATTACTGAAAACACCTTTTTTTAATACTAACTTTTAATAAGTCCAGTGAAAGAAACTATTAAGTGCCCCAATTTTGTTTTCTTTAAAGGTCCCTAAGAAGAGAGACTATGACAGTCACTTCCATGACCACGGCGAGCTGAATCCTGAAGTCTGAATACCATTCCTGCACTCCAGCTTCTTTTCCCATTATCTAGAATCACGATTAAATAAACAGACAGTATCCAAAGAGAATATGGGCCAAAGTGAATAGGTCTTAGGCCCCAAATGGCCAGTGTAAAAATGTCCTTATGTCTAGTGCTGTCTCTTGATAGTCAATGATTGTTTAACTGAGGAAATGTGACTCACAAAACAGAGGTTGAAATAAATTCTGTCCAGAACTCACAGAGTACTTTTGCCAGTGGGTAGGTACAGAGTGGAGATTCGATGTATACTCTTGTATTTTTCCCAATAGAGGTTGATTTACATAGAAATCGATGCTTTCTAATGATGTCAGTTTCTTAATGTAGACACTATGTCTTCAATCCCAAAGATTATAAAACTGAAGCCAATGAAACAACAATATATGTAAGAAATATATATGAGAAAGATAAAAGAAATGCATATATGTAAAGCAGTAATAGAATTGTTTTAGGTAGTGCTTTTTTGATTTTAAAAATGGTCTAGCTAGTAATGTTGTATCTTCACTTGAATATTCATATTCTTAATTACTTTTGCATGTTTACTGTTTGTAACAAGAGCCCAAATGCTATCTGACCAAAGTCTATCTTGTATAAAATTTCCAAGAATTAAATGTTGTTATAAAATAAAGCATTAGTCTTTTGCTCTCCTTTCTTTGGTTGCTGGAATTCATTTTAGTAATAAGTGTACACATATGCACATAAGCGCAGTCCTCATATTTTGTCCATACTCAATCAATATATTAACATATTATATTATGTATGATTTATTTACCATAAAAAATCAAGTTAATGTCTCATATTATAGACTAAGTTATAAAGAATTGAATAATTGAAAAGGTAAGCAATATAGTCATATAAAGTCATTTTTAAGAAAATCAAATAACTATTTTTCTATCTGGAAGCTTTTAATATTTTTCTTCTATCCCTTGAGTCCTGGCACCTGGCCCAGATGTGCCTAGGTATAAATAAGAAAATCAGCCCCACCATAATGAACAGAACTTCAATTTCTGAATGCTAGAACTTAAAAATTACAACTAACAATGGATTATTTCATATTTTATTCTTGGAAAAATAGTAGCATCTATTTATAGATCCTAACTATGTTACTAGTCACAGGTGACTTCTTTCAAACACACACTTCTTTTAAATAAGTTATTTGAAGTGTGCTCACTTCCTCTCCACTGTCTTCTCCCTTAGGATCATCACACAAAAAATTTTCATTGTCAGGGTGTTTGAGACCCCCTCGCCGCTTGCTAATCATAAGGCAAATCTTGGAGGGTCTTGAATGTACTCAGGTATAAAAGAAAGTCTGTTATTTTGATGTGCTAAGGAACCAGGTTGGGATGGCCACCAATTCCTGGCCTGTGAACACTCCCTTCTGCTTTCTTGCAGTGCAGTTTCTGCAAAGAGTAAAGTCTTATTCTTTAAATCCTGGGTTAGTGGTTCTTTTTATCTATCTTGCCTGGACTTTAGTGAAGCGTTTTAATCTGAAGACTTGAGTCTTCCTCTGTTCAGATAAATTTCTTCCTAGTATTTAGTAACTTCCTCTTCTCCATCTGTTCGTTTTTCTTTTTCATCACTCCTGTTACTCACACGGAAAGTCTGCTAGATCTGTTATCCAAATCTGTTTTCTTCCCTATCTTTTATTTTATTGATTCAATTCATCCACTCCTTTAATTCATTTTTGTTTGTTTGTTTGTAAATCATGGTCTATTTTTGTAGATCTGGCAAAGTTTTTGTGTCTGGAAGGGTGGGTGTGCATGTACATGTGCTATGTTTGATCTCCTTAATTACTATTGTGACTTTGTTTATGGGGGCGTGCTATTTTTGTTCAAGTTCAAAATCTAACCCTGCTCTGTCAACACTTAAATAATTTAACTATTTATATCTCATCTGTTCCAAAAAAAAATTTAAGATGTTAAGTAATACTATTTATGTTGATTGGTCAGTTTGATTAAAAAATCTCAAACTCTACCTAGATGACCATTTTCAAGAGGTTTTTCTTATTCTTTGTTCTTGTCTAAATCTGAAAGATTGGCCCATAATCATTAAGTGCAATTTCAGATAGTTTGGTGAAAGGCGAGATCAGGCTTATTCAGCCCTTGTTTCCATAGTCTTTAATCTGTTTATTGCACAAGACAAGAGAACTCTGTTGATCTATTGGGGGGTACTTTTCCAATTGCTCTATTTTATTAGAAGTCACTTATTTTGTGGGTTTTCTTAATTCTCTTCACTCTGAGTGCTGGAACCCCATTAGGTAGATTGCCCATTTCTTTTGTCTATTCACTGCGGGTTAAGTTCCAGCTGCTGAGGTACCTTGAATGACAACAATTCCAAAAATGAAGGGAGGCACAGCAATCTGTGGCTGCGTGAATCAGAGGTTTGTCACTTGCCAAAATATAAATCTCCTGGATTGGCGCCTAAGGGAAATCTCTCTGTTCCTCAGGATTTTCAGCAGGCTCGATGTTTTCTTAGAATGAGGGCCAGAAGGGACCCGATGTGTCTGCTAAGCTCACCTGAAGCTCATAGAGGACAAAGAAGACCCACTGTCATTCCAGGAACACTCCAATTGGGAAGCTGCATCACCATCCCCTGGGAATTCACAAATCTCTATAAGTCAGTAGTACCAGATCCTTATCCCATGGGCCTTCTCCAATACAGAGGAGGAAGTTCTCTCAGTTTTTTTTGTTTTCTTTTCTTTTCCAAAATCCAGAAATCTTATATCCTTCAGGCCTGGTCACTCAGGAGAGGTCCTAGACTTTGACTAGAATTGTGGACAAGGGTAGGGGAGACACTTAAATAAGGTAGAAGACGTCACTCCATGTGTTTTACAACTTGATAGTGTTACATGTTCCATGCAAAGACATGAGAATAAATTTCTTAAGAGCTGACACAACTCATTTTTTCTTTGTGCTCTTGAATAGAGCACATGTTTTAGAGATGTTTGCTCAGTGGATGAATGTATAAATAATTGAATGAATGAACCAATCAAGGAAATAGGCCTCCAAAGGCCTCCAAAAGGCCTCCAAAAGGCAGAGGAATCTTTTTATATTCATCCTGTTACTCATTTACTCAATAGTAATTCATTGAGTACCTGCTATGTTTCAGATTCTGTGAATATAAAGTCATAGGAGACAAAGCTTTGAGCTCAAAAAAATTGTTTGCAGCTCATCCAGGAGTATAGTTAGTGAATTGGTGACAGGATAAAGTGCGTGGAGAATGCTAAAATGGTAGCATACGTAGGATGTTATACATAAGAGAAGAGGAGAACCTAAATCAAATTCAACCATTCAAGGAAAACTTGCCAGAAAAAAATTATGTAAAGCATACAGTGATGTATAGACTGGGTTAAGATTCAACTCTACTGAAAATAAAACCAACACACTTTCCCCTGGAGAGCACCTTGCTCATGAAATGAAAGTTTAGAAGTCTGCTCAATCAACTCTTTCCTAGTCTTTTTGAAGATAGAAATTATTTGTGTGCTCTTTTCCCTTCCTCTTGCTCTCCCTTTGCTGTGGCAATGAGTCCAATCATCAACTGTGGCGTATGTACCATGGTCTGTAAACCTATATCTTGCTCCTGCCCTATAATCCTATCTTTCTCTCTCAATAAACCTCATTTTCATGCTTGCCTTAAAAAAAAAAGAAGAAGTTGTGAGTGTGTGTATGTATGTGTTTATGTGGATGTGAGTTGGTGAATAGAGCAGCAAACGGGAAGGATTTGGTATCAAATCCATGAACTATAAGATCATTCCACTCTTTATTTCCTAAATCGCCCACCTCTATCCCTGCCTACCCCTTGACCTAGATTCTATTCTGCTCAGAGGGTACAAAATCCAGTCTTTTCTAACTAATGGCCTTGGCTTTTATCCTGTCCTTATTTTGGTGGGTATTCATTGAAAATCTCTCAGAGTAATATTTATCCCAGCTTCATCCAACATAAATGTCAGCAGTCATGGTAGCCTCCAACCAGGGAGCCCCGGTCTTGTTAACCAGACACAGACAATTCCAAGATTTAATTTAACAGCACATACAGATCTATCAGATCTCTTTTTGGAAAAAGTCCATCTTTCGTTTTTTTTTTTTTTTTTTTTGGATGCCCATTAGTATTCCTGGCCTTGAATTTAAACCCTGCTAGGCTTTTACTATTTAATCATCTTTAAACAAAATAGCTTATCTCTCTGAGTCTCCTTATTCAATTATAGAAAGAGATAACACATACTTTTGTGGAGTTATTTTGAGAATTGGTTGGGGAAAAGGGGAACACAATTCAGTCCGTAGCAACCATCAAATCTCGAGACCCCATTCAAGTTTCACCGAATGCCCCAATGATGTTTTTATAGCAAAAGGATCTAGTTCAGAATCACATTTGGGATTTAGTTGTCATGTCTCTTTAGTCCTTCAGTCTGGGACTGTTTCTCAGTATTTCTCTGACTTTCATGACCTTGACACCTTTGAAGACTGTAGGCTATTTTTTAGAATCTCCCCAACTTGGGTTTATCTAATGTTTCCTCATAATTAATATTATTTTGTAGGAAAACAATGGAAAATTGAAATGTTCTATGTTACTACGTCAATGTCCCATTCCTCCTCAATCTGTTAATTTATTCGTTTACTAACTTACATCACTACAGACTCATGATTTCTTATTTTATCCAATTCTTTACAATACATTATAAAAATTTTTGTTGTGATGATAAAACTGTCCCAGATTTGGCAAGTGCAAGCCTATTCAGACTGGGTCCTACGTCTTTCTGATATGCATTTATCTTATGCTTTTCCTGTTCCAGCTCTTTTTTCTACATCCTGGTTTCTTTTAGTGGTATTTAGATTCTGAGATCTGCAAGCTAGGTGTGCTAATTGCTATTAGGATGTCGCTTTTCCCCAGCCCTCTCAGATGTGAGAGATAGGGTACATAAATATGTGTGTGAATGCGTATATTTGCATCTATAATTATTTCTATATCTATCCATATA